TTTTTTTTTTTTTTTTATATACAAAAAAAAAAATAAAACGTGTCCTCCTAATTGACGTTTCGGGCGCTAGTGCTTCGTCATTTACTCTGACGAAGGACTAGCGTCCGAAACGTCAGTAATTTTTTTCACCTTTTTACGGTGAAAAATTTACCCTTTCATTATTGCTGTTTCGTTACAAAATGCAAAAACCGACGCAGCTCACACTAGTTTTTAGCTAGTTACCTCTTCTGTCCTCCTAATTGTACTAAAAGTGCTTCTAATAATGTTTGATATTTCTTCTTCAGGTACGAACAACATATGCGCAAGTAGTCCTTGTCGTAATAAAGGCACGTGTGCTACTACCTACTATGGCTACAGGTGCTATTGTCCATATGGTTACAGCGGGACACAATGTGAAACAAGTGAGTCGCGCGTATTAAAACATTCCTAGATTTATGTTGTACTACTGGGTCTTTGTAAGACACTCTTATGACGGGTAATAAAAAACAAGTGAACGAATGAAAAATACTATGGACAGAAAATATAGTCACGTGATGAGCAATATACTTCTTTACCGTGAGCGAAATGTTTTCCCATTTCAGACCACGTGTCATTCTCTTGAGAATAAGATTCTTTGTTTGAATTGCATCCATATTGAGGTGTCTTATCATGTGCAACCGTTAAACATAGAAATGTTACTAAGTCGAATGTTTTCTGAAATGAAAAAAAAAAAGTGATGCTAAAACAGTATATTTTCCAAATCATTCTAGTTCATTTGGGAGTTAGTATTTGACAATTATTATATGACCGTATATCTTAGAGCCTGGACACTAGCAAATCGAGCAATCTGATTGGATAGATCGCATCGCGGACTGGTCTAGATTTTCCGGTATTAACCGGTCCGATCGCATATTAATCTTACGGCGAAAACATTTTGTCCTTTTCAATGAAAATTGGTCATATAATAAAACTCTTATCAACCGAGCTTGGTCGGTCTCGCTGCGCTCGGTCTGTACATTCCGACCTCGGTCAAGATTACCCCGTACAGACCTCCCGCTCGGGTAATAAGATCTAATTCCTGATTACGTAAAACTCAAGAAAAGAATTTTATTTCCATGTGCTCTGAGATGGAAAAATCGCTGACTATGTCGGTCGTACTATATACTCAAATCACACATTTTTTTAAAATCTAGACATGTTCCCGTGTAACAGTGGTCCTTGCCGTAACGGGGGTACTTGCCATAATTATTATTGGCTTAATAGAGGATATCACTGTTCGTGTCCTAGAGGATACACTGGACAACAATGTCAGACACGTAAGTAACAGTCAAGCAACAGAGCATTTTATTTGATGCTACAGTTGATCCCCAACTGAAATCATCAGACCAGTTTATCGGGAATGCTTCTATTCTAACTGAGATAACCTTAATTTTGGATCTAGACATGCCGTGTACTAGTAACCCTTGTCGTAACGGAGGTACTTGTCAGGGTGGAGTTGGCTGGTACAGATGTTCGTGTCCTTATGGATACACTGGACAACAATGTCAGACTTGTAAGTAACATTCAAACAATATATAGACCAATGTTGTATTTGACGCTACAGTTGATGCGCAACTGAAATCATTAGACTAGTTTAACTGAAAAAATGCTATTATGATATGAGAAAATCTGATTCATTTTGAATCTAGACATGTACCCGTGTAACAGTCGTCCTTGCCGTAACGGGGGTACTTGCCATAATAATTATTGGTATAATGGAGGATACTACTGTTCGTGTCCTAGAGGATACACTGGACAACAATGTCAGACATGTAAGTAACACTCAAGCAACAGAGCATTTTATTTGACGCTACAGTTGATCCCCAACTGAAATCATCAGACCAGTTTAACGGGAATGCTGCTATTCTAACAGGATGGCGTGGTGGTAAAACGCTCGCCTCTCACCTCTGAGGTCCGGGGTTCGTATCCCAGTCACCCCATGTGAGCTGAGTTGGTTGGTTCTCTTTCTGGCTCCGAGGGTTTTTCCTTCCTCCTCTCAAATCAACCCTAACTAATTCAAACTGGTTAGAGCTGTGCTCCGGGGTCATACATGGAAAGTATAGCGGCTGCCAGAGGCGCCTTCACATGTTTTCAGTTCGACCCCGTTGAGCTGCGCCACTGCTGTACTTGCGGTGGTGATAAGCGATGAGAAATTATTTTTTGATAACCTTTTTATTTTGGATCTAGACATGCCGTGTACTAGTAACCCTTGTCGTAACGGAGGTACTTGTCAGGGTGGCGTTGGCTGGTACAGATGTTCTTGTCCTTCTGGATACACTGGACAACAATGTCAGACTCGTAAGTAACACTCAAGCAACAGAGCATTTTATTTGACGCTACAGTTGATCCCCAACTGAAATCATCAGACCAGCCTAACGGGAATACTTCTATTCTAACTGAGATAACCTTTTTTTTTTGGATCTAGACATGGCGTGTACTAGTAACCCTTGTCGTAACGGAGGAACTTGTAGGAATGGTTATTATGGAGGTTATTACTGTTCTTGTCCTTCTGGATACACTGGGCAACAATGTCAGACTAGTAAGTAACACTCAAGCAACAGAGCATTTTATTTGACGCTACAGTTGATCCCCAGACCAGTTTAACGGGAATGCTGCTATTCTAACTGATATAACCTATTTAATTTTGGATCTAGACATGCCGTGTAACAGTGACCCTTGTCGTAACGGAGGTACTTGTAGGAATGGTTATTATTGGTATAATGGAGGGTATTACTGTTCTTGTCCTTCTGGATACACTGGGCAACAATGTCAGACTTGTAAGTAACAGTCAATCAATAGAACATTGTATTTTATACCAAAGCAAATGACGAAATCCCTTTAGACCAATCAGAAACAGGGTAGAGATGCACAAGATTAGGATTTTAAAAATGAATAACCCGTTAACGGTACAGGAATAACAACCTGATTTAACCAATCATAGCGCGCTATTAATCAGTATCAGATCCACTGGGAATGCTGGTATATTGCATCATGAAGGTCATGGCAAGGCTCGTCATTTCCGTACCTACAATTATCATAGTCTGCTCGACAGTCTGTTCTATTTAATGTGACAAGTTAATGTATGTTATAGTGTGCACTTTCCGTAGATTTTTTTGGTTCATAACGGAAGCCACTTGAATTTCGGCACTGCTGTAAAATAAGTTTCCCAATGCAGTCACAAGGAGTTTCATCGTGAACAATGTATGACCCTTACTAGAAATGTAATGTCTTATTCGTTTTATCCAAGAACACTAAGCAAACACGATCCAAGTTAGTGTGCAAACCATATATCCGTGAAAAAGCACAAAATCTAAACAGCACTAAAACATGCTTATTTTTGTTTACAATTGTTTCATTGGTGCTATTTTGTACTAATTAGTCGTTACTATTTCACGGTTATATAGTTTGCACTCTAATAAACGTTACTTGTTGTTCTCTGTTTCCCAGACTTGAACTGGTGCGCCAGTGGGCCTTGTCGTAATGGAGGCACGTGTAATAATGCTTATTATAGATATCAGTGTTCCTGTTCATATGGATTCACCGGCAGACAATGTGAAACCAGTAAGTACTCCACACACCCGAACCCTTCGGGTGAATATTATTGAATATGTCAAACGCTTGACGGTGATGCAAGACCATTGCAAAGTGCGCAGAGACCTACTAGGAAATATAAAAACTAAGGTCATAAAATGTATAAAATGGCGGAAAATGTTTATTACGTAATACACCTGATGTAAGCGGTGTAAGCCATCGCAATGCGCGGACAGACCACCGATCAATTTTGGTTATCCAATCAAAAGGCACTGAAAGACAGCAGAAATAGTTAGCTCAACCTTTCTTACGATTTTTCAACAGACCTTAAAACAAGCGTTACATGTGGAGAAAACTTTATGCAGATTGACTTGAGAGATCAGTACTTTCCCGGCCTGAACTGGCGCAGTCTGCACCTCAAGAACACATCGTGTACAGCAACAAAGACAGCCTACACCATGAGACTACGTGCTCCTCTAGATGGCTGTGGTGTGACTTACGTAGAACATGACAAGAAAATTACATTCTGGAACGAGGTAATTCAAATTTCAAAGTTTCAGTATTGCTTGATTTCACTCAGCTGATAGAAGTCTTTGAATCTCATTATCTGCTTCAAATGGTGGTCAAACACTGACCACCATGTGCTGTCAACCAGAAAGAATTCTATTGAAACTTATGATTCAGCTGCTGAACATTCCGCACGAGACAGGAAATGATGTCTAGTGAAACCCAGCAATAGATACCCAGAAGCAACCTCTGGGCTTATTAATGTCAGGATTCGGCCGAGGCACAGATGAAACCCTGCTACAATTACCTCGTATTGTTATCGAGGGTTTTGACCGGGTTTTCCACCATTCTCCTTCCCCAAACATCCACAGTTCTAGTTAACTTTATTGGATTTAGTGGATGAAGTATTCACACAATCCATATGGTTTTCTTTCCAGGTAAGAAATGAGCAGAGTGTGTGGCCAAGCTGGGGTGGAAATCTTTCTGCCATAACGCGAGGTGAAAACCTTCTTATTCCATTTTACTGCGAGTACGRACGAGAAAAGATTGTCAGTACGAGTTTCAGTCCATCGAGGAAATTAGTCTACGCTTCTGAAGGTGAGTATCAAAAACAACCTCTAGCATGTGGCCGCGTTAGATGCACCTAACTCCTGATACGATACTTTCAGACTTGATTCTACATAAAGTTAATAGTTGAATGGTGAAATATTTCTTCATTTGAATGTGGCGTCTTTAAGTTATGAAGGTTTATATTTGCAATAGGCTTTTTAGCGTAATTCGTTTTAATTTTTAATACTAAACACTAGCCATTATGAGACATCAAATTTACAATTAATATTGTGGAAACCTTGCGTATRATGAGTGATGCTTTTTAAATCCTGTTTGTGTGAACCAGTCAAAATTTGTATATTTATTGAAGCCTGTGGTGACGTCACAGTCATTACCACATTGCAAGTATAAAGCTTTATAACTTAAAGACGCAACATTTAAATGAAGAAATATTTCATCATTAAATTATTTACTTTATGTAGAATCAATCCTGAAAGTATCGTATCTGGGGCTAGGGGCACTTTAACCAATATGTCAGCATGGGAAATGATGCGCATCCTTCATAACTGTAATTAATGAAAACTTTATTGACAATCTATAAAAAACTATATAAGCTGCATATTGAATAATTCTATTAATAAATTTTGATGAAAATAAGAAAATAAAAAGCTGGACACACACGAATGATGGGTGGTATATGTATATGGCTAAAAAAATCTAATAAATAACTATTCAATTCTATAAAAACTATTTACAATACGTGGATTGTCTATGTCATCTTATCAAATTAATGGAAAGTTTTACCGGCTGAGCCAATCATGAATTAATGTGTTGTACTCAAGTTGTTTTTCTTAGATAGTTTTGATGCAAGTTCTGAAATAAAGCGTTCTGCTTCCTTGTAATTAATTCAAAGTAAATATCTTCTTTCCACAGGATCTTATGGCAACTTCACGTTCACCATGGATCTCTACCAGACTTCTAGATATTCAACACCTTACTCCCCTTTCGCTTACCCAGTGGTTGTCTACCCAAACCAGCCTCTGTGGGTTCAGTATGAAGTCAAGAATACCAACGCTGATCTTGTCGTGTTTGCTGAGAATTGTCGTGCTACCACTTCAACTAACCCAGACTCATTTCCACAACATGTGTTTCTGGAGAGAGGGTGAGAAATCCTCTTGGCGTACAATTTTCTAATTATAAACTATGGAAATACAGCCATAAGACATCTTGTCATAGTAGGATTACTCGTTTCAAAGTTTGTCTGGCCTTATGATTTTATTCCTTAAGTTCCTTTTTCTTTCTTTAAAGATGCACTCGCGACCCAACCATGGTCTACTGGTACAACCCGTACAGCAATGTCCAACGGTTCTCCATCAGATCATTCAGTTTCGTGTACTCCAACAGCTTCCTGGTGTATCTACACTGTGAGCTGATTGTTTGCCATCGTAACTCAACTAACTCACGGTGCGCACAAGGTTGTATCAGTTCCAGAAGACGTCGAGAGGCCGTTGATGGCTCAAATATACATGACTTGTCTGTTGGACCACTGAAAGGATCAGACGCACAGACGGGAACTGACGAACAGGGTGGAGAAGGTAAGACCACGTCAAGAGAATAAGCTTAAAAATGATTCTATTATATCCACAAACATCGATGCGCTGAACGTTTCACAGTGCGATAAGTGTTTTTAAAATTTGAGAAAAATTTAAACTGATCCACCCCAGTTCCTTGCTCGTCTTTGAAATGCCCGGTTTGTTAGAGTCGTTTAACTTCTCTCCACTGAATGCTTCGAGGACTTTTCTCCAAAAGTAAGCTTCCAAATTCCAGTTGTTTTCAGTGAAAAAATGTGATTTACATGGATTGTTTTAGAATCATTTTGCTTTTTTAATCTCCAGAAACATCGAGCGCCAACACAGCAACCATTGGTTCAGTTTCGGTTGTTGGTGCAGTTGCACTTCTAGTGGCCATTCTCCTGTCGGTCAAAATGTTCCACAATCGTCGCAATCKCGTTCCTCCGARGGAAACTCCACCGCCAGCCATCGTCATGAACCAAACCGTGAACTCGTATGAACAACACGTGATGGAAGACGGCGAAAGAACGGAGATTGAAATATAGTATGTAGTGACACTGCACGGTAGAAACACGATATGAAATATATTTTAAGCAATCACTCTTGTATAGACCTYATTCGAGTTGCAAATTACCGCTGTGTTCCTTGATAGCAGACTCGTTTACACAGGGTTAGCCTCGAATCAGTGTCTTATTATTCAAAAATACCAACGGTAAAGTAAAGAATGCACAACTTTAACAATACAAACACTTTGTAATTCCACGGGCCTTGACTGAGACACGTGGATATTCTGCACAAAATCATAGCTATCGCTGAGCAACAGATAACTTGAAACTGAAGTTTTGTATTACGAGCCCCTTTAATTCATTGTTTAAATCGGAGGGGGAGGAGAAAATGGTTTTGATGCAGAACGTTTCCAGACCCCAACCTAATAGCATTTTTGTTTTTCGGGTACCCTCCCTTCAAAATTGTTTAAAAAGTCCTCCCAATCCTCCCAATCCTCCTTTTGACCTGTCAAGCATCCCATGTTCACTAAAAAAAAATTGAGTGCACCACATTTTCTCCTGCGCCCCCTTCCCTCCGACTTCAATAATGACTGGTCCCTAAGGATAACCACATAGGGAAAGTTAAGTGTGCTGCAAACAAAATGCCAAAAAAACATGGACGACTTCACCTACAGTGGCGACTGCAGTTTGTTAATACCAAATAAAATGCAGCCAAAATGCTTTAAGGAGCTAGCCGCTCCCCAGGCTGCTACGCACTGCGACTAAATGATATTAACCTAGATTGGAAAAGATCGCTCATCTTGGATATAAATAAAAGATCTCTTTGTGCCGGTCTCACAATTGCTGTAGACTGGAAGGTGGTTTCTAATATACCGTCAGTCTGACTATTAATCTAGTATATTAATAGAATATTAATCTAGTCATTATATCCTCTATATCCAGTTATGATTTGATTTAAACTAACATGATTGTCGGCTTTTTAGTCAGGGAGCTACGACAGGTTGACCAGAATTAATCTCCTTATTCTCAGGAACCCAGGGATAAATGACTCTCCCGGGACGCCCTCTCCTTGGCTATTTTATCATCAAATGTAATTTCCCAGGAATTAAAAACACATAGCTTTATTCAGAAGTTTTTAAAACCATGATTGAACCTCCTCAATTACCACTACGAATACCCCATATAGTTAAAAGCCTGGCTATGCCATTGTTATTTGTGCACAAAATGAGTGATCAAATTAAACAGAATCAAAGCAGGTGTTCAATTGTTTTTCCTTATGGTGTTGTTGATGGCGATGATGAAAACAATGGTGGTGAGATAATTATGATGATAATGATGGTCGTGATGACGATGATGATAATGATGATGAAGGTGGTGGTGATGGCGATGATGATGATGATGATGGTGATGATGGTGGTGGTGATAATGATGATGGAGATGGTGGTGGTGGTGATGATAGTGACTGATAGATGAGTAGATGGTGATGATGATGAGTATGATGCTAATAATGATAAGGATGATGATAATGATGATGTTTATGATGAGGACGGTGGTGGTGGTGATGGTGGCGATGATGATAATGATGCCAACAGATGTAATGATAATGATGATGCAGTTGGTGATGATGATGGTTGTGGTGATGATGATAATGGTATTGATAATGATGATAAAGATGATGATGTTGTTGGCTGTGATGATGGTGATGATGATGATGGTATAGATGGTGGTGATTATGGTGATAAGGTTGATGATGATGATAATATAGTTTTCATTTTTAAGACCCAAGAAACAACGTAACATAAAATTAAAAAAATACCAGCATTGGTTATATAAAACTTCCGTTTTCGCTTTCAAACAACCAACGTCAGGAAAGATACGTACCTTGGTTATTTTACCTTCATTTTTGGGCATCGAAATAACCAAGGAAAGAAAAAAGACGATCGTGGTTATTTTAGCTTCATTTTTGGCTTCGAAATAGACCATGCTTTGTGGTCAGAAACGGCCCAAAATGACCTATTTTGCACCCTTCATAAATAATGCATAATTTTGGAAAAGGTGTGAAAATGGTCCAAACTCGATCAAAACCATGGGCTATAGTCCATGCTTTTTGGTCAGAAATGGAATAAGTCGACCTATATTTCGTCCTTTATAAATAATGCATAATTCTTAATCAAACCGCCCTTTTGGCGAACTCGTGGATGCTAGTTGAACTTTTCAGAGATTGGGCTCCCTGTGTCCTTATACTTGTTGACATTTCAAGGTTTCAAAGTATTTCGTTCGATTTCATATTTTAAATGCTCAATTTAGCTGGTAAGATGATTAGTCGTCCTTATATTTTCCTTTTAACACCTACTTTGTTTACTTCTTTGTTATTTTGTTGATCTGTGATGAATTGGAAAAACGTTGCGTTATGCGTTACTACTTATTGTAGAGTATTGGGATTCCTGTGTTATCACCTGTCAATAGTAATAAGAATATGGTTCCGCCATCTTGTCGTAAAAGTCCGCGCTAAAACTCAACAAATTGGCGACGAGGACGGGATCTTTTCAACGCTTAAACTCAGGAAAACAATCCTAGAGAGTCCCTCGAGTGGAAAATTGGCTTAAAGCTTCCAGGATATAAGCTGTGTGTAAGGAAAAAAAGGAGAAAATGCCGGATGAAGCGAGTCCAATACAAGCCGTTGGGAAAGTCCAGAAGTATGTTGTTGGAAGCGACTGGGAGTCGTATGCTGAACAGCTAGACTTTTACTTCTAAGGACGCAAATAGGAAGAAAGCTATCCTCCTAACAAATATTCCGACGGAAACATACCAGCTTATAAATGATTTAGTGGCTCCAGAAACACTAAGAAGCGATTCAGTTACGTACGATGTTATCATCGAGCGGCTTGCGGGTCAGCTAAAACCACAAGAGTCTGCCTTGGTAGCCAGGTATGAATTCGACAATCGAGCGAGGAAACTGGGTGAGTCAGTCAATGAATATGTCGCAGTTCTGAAGCATTTAGCTACCGAGTGCAGGTTTAATGAAGCGATGCGAGCCGAACGTCTTCGCGATAGATTGGTCTCGGGAATTCGCGACGCCAAGATGATAAGCGAGCTGCTCAAGGTCAAGCTCTCAGACCTCACGTTTGATGTTGCAGTGCGAAAATGCTTGGCGATCGAACAAGCGAA